CCCCCACCCCTGCCCTCTCCAGGAGGGGCCCAAGTTCCGACCCGGAAGCCTCTTCGCGGAGGGATCCGTTCCCCAGACTCGCGCCCCCGGCCCCGCCCCTGTTGCCTAGGCGACGAAGGGCCGCGGCCCCGGGGCGAGATCTTGAGGATGTCCGTGGGGACCACTCCCGGGGGAACGACACCCGCGGCGACGACCCCGGCGGGAACCACACCCGAGTCGGAGGTACGCCGCCCCTTCCTGGCACCCGCGACCCTCGAGCGCACGCCCCGGCCCACGGGGCCCGCGGCTGAGGCCCGTCCCCGGGGAGGCATCCCGCTCCCGGGTTGGGAGCGCGGCGCGGACTGGCGGCCCGGCAGGGAACCGACCGCCCGGCAGGGAACCGACCGGAGCGGCGCCGGGGTCCGGGAGGCGGGCGGGGGTCGCTGGGGCAGCGCCCCGCGTTCCCCGAGCCCTGCCGCCGGCCGCGCCCCTGCCCAGGCGTGCCTCTCGAGGTTCCCTGGAGTAGAAACTGTAGAAATTCCTCCCTTGGTCGGTTCCAGGTCCCAGTGACCTCACAACACTGTGCTTCTCCCGGATTCTCTGCACTTGAAAGGGGATCTTGGAAAGTGCTACTAATTCTTTTGCAGTGATCATAGTGGAATAATAACTCTTCATTGTTAGTAGATTGATTAATATTTGAAGGCCAGGGCTTGGTGTCTCCCTCATTATTTTACCACTTCTCTAAATACAGAGATAGACGATAGGACAAAGGAGGGGCCCTGGAAAATCCACTTCTGGTTATGGCTTAGTTGCTCATGGTCAACTTGTCTCTTTAGGAAAGTTATTTTTAACTTCCTTGGGCCCCAGTGGTTTCCTGTATGTGGAAAAGAAAAAGAAAGAAAGAAAAAAGGATTTATCTTTAGGTCCCTCCCAACACCAGCTCTCAATAATAAACGGGTTTTAGTAACTTTAATTATTCATAAGCTTAGTATCCTGAGATTTTAATTAAGAACATATCTGCTATTCCAGATATAGCTAAAAGCAAATATTTAAATCTCCACACAGAGTCCATCATGTTGTTCTAGGAAGTTTTGTCTTGAGTTTTTTTTAAGACTGAAGGTGAATAATAATGTTATAATTAACATTGCTATGCTCAACTCCCTTATTAGTCTAAATAACATTTTTTGTGCAGAAGCTAAGTATTAACTGCTATTTTCTAAATGTAGAAACACACAGCCAATAATCTAGTGCCTTGCTGCAGACATATATAGAAGTCGTTCTGAATCCAGATTCTTCCCAATACTGCAGATGGCTAAAGCAGGCTGACTGTCCTATGAGCCTTTTGAAATTAGCATACATTAAAAATACATTTAATGTGATAAACTGGTTACTAAACTAGTTAATCCCTTGTGATCTCTAATGTAAGTAATACAATTTCAAAAGTGGCAGAGAAAACTTCCCAATTAAGTCATGTTATTTAAATATATACAAAAACTTACTTAAGAAAATGCTCAATTGTCAGTGTACACTTGCATATACTTACTTATCCACGTATATATAGATATGTCCTTTCTAAGACGACTCTGATAATTTGGGTTTAACAAATCTGCACTTTAAAAAATAAAAAAGGGAAGAAAAGAAAAATACCCATAATTTTCTTTTGAAGATGTGAAGAAGTGCCATGCCCCAGGGGAAAAGAAAATCACTTGTTTTTTGGATGGGTCAGATGAATTGAGTTAGTTATAGACCTTCAGTGATTATCTGCCATCTTAGCACTGTCAGTGGGTACATTTGTTAACTTCTTGGAGGAGCAGGTATTCCCTGTGACAAGCAATTCAGAAAATCCTCGGTCTTTTAGTTAGTAACAAACTGAAGAAATCAAGATGGAATTTGGACTCACTGAGCTATACTCACTTAGCCTGTCCTGAGATGAACAGGCTGATACACTGCATGTTAGAAACACCATTTTCCATTCTAATGAAAGCAGAGCTCCTGTAGGTCACAGAGAAGCCAGTGGATCCATAGGGCCTTCATTCATTAGAGTGATAAGGCCTCCTGGCCGCCCATTTCTGCCCACGATGTGTTTTAGGGGTTAGATGGAAAAAATGGCAAAGACCCCTGTCTCAAAATCTATGCTCCCAAGGCTACTGATTTTCAGTTAGATACTGGAAGGTTCTTCTCAGATCAGAGTGTTTCCAGAGTTGATCCCCCAAGACCTAGTCCCGTATGGTGTCATTTCTAGTAAATTCTGTATCCAAATTGACTTAGCCAGTAGACCATCTAGTCATCCTGGCCAAGCAGTAGTGAAATATTTTTTTTTTCTTGCCAAGTCAATCAGAAATAAAGCATAAGCTTCCAGTACTCTGAGGTTTCCTGACTTATTTGTTGCCAGTACCTAGAACGAAAACAACCAATTATCCCAGTCACATAGTAGGCACTCAGTAAAATATGATAACTAATTAAAATCACAGGTGGTCTGATGTATGCCAGGAAAGATAGTTATCATAGACCAAAAGTTATTGAGAAACTGTGAACAAACACACATGGGATGCAGATCCAGGAATATATTTTTTTCTGTAGCATTGCATTAACTCTTTTTGCCAGCTTTCTGAATTTAACATTCTGGGTTCTTTAGTAACATGGGAGTTAATGCCTCCCTCTAAAAAGTAAGACTAAATGTTTGGGAGGTATCTGTATAAATGCATAAGACTAAACAAAAATGACAAAAATCTGAAAATATTTACTATGTATAGATCTATAAATGAAAGGAATTTATAAATGTTTACAAATTAAATCATAAATGAATTTATAAATGAATACTTAAAATTTAATCATCAGTCTTTTATCAGTAGTTGGTTCATAAACTGACTTTCTTAGTGTCTTAAAAAATATTATTTGGGAAATATCATTTAAGTAGCATATACGAAAGGACTATACTTCAACTTACATCAGAGACCTAAAAGAAAACGTAAATGATTATTGCCCAGTTGCTTCTTCTGAATAATGTCTCGAAGTGTTACCACATTCCCTAATAGATGACATTTACTCAGTGCCTTCGAGACTTTATCAGGATAAGAGGACACTTACATAATCTTGAGTGGAAAGATGGTGTCTTGTCTTGGAGATCTTCAACATGTGCAGGAGGAGGCCACAGATGATTCTCTCTACATTAGGTGGTCTCCCTAACAAACCTTGAAAACAGCTCCCACCCCATCATCAACAGGTTGGAGAGAAACACTTAGGGCTCAACTTGAGCAGCAAGATGATCAGGGTCCTTCTGTTTCTATATCACTCAAGAGATATTTATTGAAGCCATTTTCAGCACCTACTGTAGGAAAACCTGAGCAGGACCATGGGGAGGATGCCAAAAGTATTACATAAAATATTGTTAAGAAGACAGTACTAACATTGCTCAAAATGTTAATATACAGTAGTATTATTTATAAAACATTTAGAACCTCTGGAGTAGTGGCTGTGGGTGTGGAAAATTTGACAGATATTTGAGCTTGTCTTTCTTTTTACTAGTGGTTGGGGTTTCTATTTTATTTTAAAAGTCCTGCTTCTCTTCAGCCTCCCTTTCAGATTATGCAAGTAATCTTTACTCTTTTTCTAATATTTAAAGTGTTATTTTTTCTGCATGGAGAACTGGGTGTTATACACAAATAATGAATCATGGAACACTACATCAAAAACTAATGATGTAATGTATGGTAATTAACATAACAATAAAAGTTAAAATAAAAGATTTGCAAAAAAAATAAAGTGTTATTTTACTAAAGTTAGGTCTTAACATGGCTAAAATTAATTTCTGATAGATATGTTTGATATATTTGATATGAGGATCTAATTTTATTTTCTTCTAGACATGAACCATCAGTCTGCCAGCTTCATTTACTAAATAAACCATCCTCTCTCTTCCCATTGAGAATGGACTGACTGCCACTGTCACATTATGTGTATATACATGTGAATGAACACAAGGATAGGCAGAATAGTGGAACAGCATAGAGACTCCAAACATTTATATATATATGTATACATGTGTATGTATAAATTTATATGTATGTATACAGGTATATGTATTTTTGAATTTCCAGAGGTTTATATATATTATTACAGATATATTTTCAAATATCCTTTTCTTTTCCACTGACCAGTTTGCCCATTCTTGTGTCAATGCCATACTATTTTATATTTAGCTTTAATATCTAATTTGGAAAGGTTCCTCTCACTATTTTTCTTTTTGAAAATATATGTATTCTTCCATAAGAATTTTTTAAAAATTATTTTATCAAGTTCCAGAATGATACAGTTGAGATTTAAAATTGAGATTTATAATGTGGGAAGGATCTAATTTTTTTCAATTTGAAGGCTTCCAATAAGTCTCCTTTATTAAGTTTTTTTATTAAACTTTTGATAAAGCTTATAATTTCTGTAGGTCCTATACCTTTCTTATTATATTTATAACCAAGTATAGTTTAATCAAGTTTCTGCTATTTCCATTTCTAATTAGTTTCTAATATAGAGAAAAACAATCGGCCTTTATGTATTTATGTTATGTAACCATCTTATCAAAGTTCTTATTAACTGAAACCATGTTAGCACAATGTCAGGTGTCTTAGGTATGCAACCATGTAATCTTCAAAATAAAGATTCCTTTATTTCTTCATTTTTAATATTTAAGTCACATATTTAGTTTTCTTATTATATTAGTTAGAATCTTTATAGAGTGTTGAATTACAATAATGTCACTAGCCAGAATCCCTTTTTGGTTTCTGGTTTCATGAGAATGACTTCAGTTTCTCACCATTCAGTCTGATGTTTTGGCAAATAATCTTTTTTGTGTTTATTTTTTTTCTATTCATGTTTTAGTAAGAGTTTTGCTGCTGAATTCTAGCAAATGCCTGCTTATTATTTCATTATTATATCATTTTTTATTATTTAATTTGACATAAAAGTATGTTGTTTAATGATGATCCATCCTTGCATTTCTGAAATTAACCTTATTTGGTCATAATGATAGTTTATTTTTCTTTTAGTATGCTGTTGGATTCAACTTTCTAAGATAATATTTTAACTAAAACTTTTACATCTGAATTCATGAATGACTTTGGTTTATAATTTCCATTTTGTGCTAGTTTAGGTTTTTGTGTGTAGACTCTGCCGGCTTCTTAAAAATGAATTGTCTACAGTCTGTAGTTATTAGACTAACAGAATTTATGTGTTCTCCATTGTTAGGTAGA